TCTAACCTCCGTGTTTGGTAGGGTTGATTTGGAGGGATAGGGAGAGAAAAGAAAAGAGAGGATAGTGTAAGTTTGTGTTTGGGTAACTTAAGTGGAGGGATAGGGAGGGATAAGGAGAGATAGGGAGGGATAGCTATCCCTCCTTATCTCTTATTTGCTTTCTCCTCAAAATTGAGAAGATAGGGAGAGATAGTGAGAGAAAGGATAGTGATTTTAGTGGTATTTTGATAATACCAAAATTAGCCTCCACAAATCAATACACAGATTTATTATTCCATCCAAGTCCCATGGTTATGAAAGGATAAAAAAGTAATTTGTCTATTATCCTTTCTTTTCTTTTCTCTTCTCTATCTTATCCAAACAAAAATAACTATCACTTCTTTTCTTTTCTCCCCTGTCTATCCAAACACAAATAGAAATTATTACTATCCTTTCTTTTCTTTTCTTTTCTTACTAATACTATCCTTTCTTTTCTTTTCTTTTCTCTCCTAACTAATACTATCCAAACACACCCTAAAAGTCTCTCCTTTTCTCCATAGCAAAGGATTGATTATCGACCTGGTCAGTGGCAAGCAATACCGATTCGCGACGGAGATCAGAAAAACAAAGTAATATAAAGCAAGAAAAACATTCGATTAAAGCGTCAATAGGTCATCTTCGACTATGCGTAGAGCCAGGGCAACCACGGCGGCGACAGCCAGAGAAACCAACGGATTTAGTCCGACAGCTGCCGTGAAGGAGATCAGGTTTCGTGGCGTTAGAAAGAGAACGTGGGGCAGATTTGCAGCGGAGACATCTATGGTTGGGCTCGGCACCTTTGACTCCGCCGAGGACGCGACGTGAGCCTACGATACCGCCGATCTCTCCTCCTTTCCCATCCCTCCCTATTCTCTTCTCCAAGAAAACCCTAACGGTGTCCTCATCAACCACATAGCACCATCGAGTCCTTCAGTGGGCCCAAGCCTCCGCCGTCGCAGACGGCTGTGACGTAGCCTTCCTCCTCCAGGCGATACCCTCGCTCGCCACCAATCGTACCCGACAATTTCCACAGCGACTGCGACTCGTCGTCGTTTCGGAAACCCTTGGCTTTGTATGGCGTGTGTTGTGTTTGATGTGGCGGTGCGGCGGTTGTGGCGGTGGACCGGTGGTAGGTGAGAGGGGATTACAGAATATTGAGGGGGTATTTTTGTCAATTAACGGATTCGGGCAGATATGGCTTTTGAAACCGCAAAGTTGTCAATGTAAACTAGAACTTTTGCCCTTTCACATTAATCCAAACTTCAAGAGTTGTAAATGCAATTTAGCTAAATTAAAATTTGATTTTATCTTAACGTATTGGGTTTCCCACAGTTTGTTTAATTAATGTCACAGAGTATCACGGATAATGGATTATAGTTGGCAGGTTAGCAAAAGGGTCCAAAAACTTCATCCATTTACTTGCCAAGAAATTTCTATGCAATTTCTCATCATTTCTTTTCTTTCATGAAAAGTGATGTAGAGAATCAATAATGGTTGTTTAGTAGTTCCAGGTAATTGCTCAGTCTCATTCTATCACAATAAAATTTTCAAACTCACAAACAACATGGACAACTATATACACTTAATCCATTTTTATTATAAATTGTTACAAATAATAAAATTAAAGTAAATATTATTACGTAATAAAAAATAATAATAATAATAATAATAAAAGAGGGTAAAATAGTCTTTTAAATTGGTATTGGGTTGCACTTTACCCTCTTTTACATCACCACCAACCCAAAACGCCATTCACGTACGCTTCTTGTCTGTTACTACTAGTCTTCTCTACTGCAAATTGCAGAGAGAGAGAGAGAAGAGAGAGAGAATCAAATCCCCATGGCTTCGGAAGCATCTCTACGAAGTCAGAAAACCATATACTTGATACCTTCACCTGCTACCTTTTTGTTCTCAATCAACGGCACTCTCCAGGTCTACAATGCTTATACCAGTGGCTCCTCTTACGCGGCTGCTTTCATCACTTTGGCCTTCTTTGCTCTCTTGCTGGTGGAATACCATCTCTCTGATTATCGAAGATTGCCTCCAAACAAGAAATCATTTGTGAAAGATTTCTTGAGGTTTGGGTTCTGGTTCTCATCCACAGTCATCATGTTTGGCTTCGCATTCTGGCTCATGGGGGTTGCTGCTGCTTCATCGCTTTTCTTCCTGGCTGCTTTCATCTTCCCTCTCTTGGGCTTTCCTACTGTTGCCAGCTCCTACCTTTTCCATCTCTGCAGATTCCCTGCTCGTCATCACCATCGTAACTGCAGCTGCAATGACGACAAAACAATTTATTTTTCTGGTTTTAATCTGATTTTATATTGAATATCCAGGTACTACTGTTTTCTTTATATTTAATCATGATCTTGGTTGTTAATCGTTTAAATGCATGATCATTTAGATAGGTGTTTTCAGTGTTTCTTACAACATTTATTATATATTCGATTGGGTTTATTTGAGGTGTTTTGGGGCGGATTGGAAGGAATTTGCGACTTCTGGGGGGTGTATGAACCCTAGATTTTTTACATTGTCGGTTTGATCATTCATTATAGGACATGGTTTTCTGCCATTGTTGTATCTATGGATAGATTAGAGGATGGCCAAACAAAGCCCTAATGTTTCGTTGCGATTGGGGTTCGTTTGGATGGTCACATTGAGGTTGGAAGGTGGCTGGTTGCAGAAGGGGTCGAAACTTGATGAAGGAGGAGGAAGAAGGCTCTCCATGCCAAATCGACGATGCCCACGAGCGAAAGATGATGGCCCGTGGTGGTGGTGGTGGTGGTTCTGGTCTCAATTAGAGTCCACTGGACCCCACTCGCCGAGCAATGGACGCATTTTTATGCTCACCCGAATTAATTTAATAATTCTATATCTTTAATTAATAAAAATGTAGAAAATATCAGAAAATTATGAAAAATTGTGAATATATAGTATTAACCATTATGGGGTCAGAATATACCCCAACTAACTTACTTGGTTTAGGTTATGTTTAGGCTAATTAGCTATTTAATTAGTCTAGAAAGAGGACTTGTTAGGCAGGACTATAAATTATTTTTAACTTGATAACACACCAGGTAGTATTAACAAAGTTACCTATATCTAATGAGTCGACATTCTTTAATTTGAACTGTGTAGTTCTCTTAAAGGCATTTTACTCAATTTGTGGGAAGCACATTGGATAATGAATTTTTTTTTTTTTTATCTTTTTTCTTTTTTTCTTTTGTCATGGTCTAATTATGAAATACAATACTAAAAATGCATAGGTGCTTCCTTCTGATTTATTTATTTATTGTAGGAAGTTCATGCTTATGGTTGTTGTGCTTCATTAGAAAAGTTGATCTTGGATGTGATTGACAAAGTAGATATATTTCCATTGAACTAATTTCTTCATTCTAATAAACCAGATGGTAGTTAACTGTTGACATTAAAACCAATATTGCAATGTGCATTTATTATTAGTTTTAGAGCAGACTAGACGGCAAACAGAGGAAATGTATTTATTTTTTTACATAACAGGCAACAGCCCATCAGATCGAATTCTTGGTCCAAATTTTTTGTTAGCGCGCTCTCTCTCTTTCCGGGAAAAGAATTTTCTCATTCTTTCTTACATTTTGTTCTGAAACAACTCTGTGTGTTTCAATCATAATAAAGTAACTAAAAGACGTGTTTGATTATTTTATTGGTGCAGGTATTCATCTGTTTTATGGGTGATGAGATTATGAAGCAAAAAAAAAAAAAAATTCACTTACAGTTTAGAAGTTGGTGGAAATGGCAGAAAGTTAACATGGCATGGCAAGGAGTAGTTCCAAGGAGCATTCGTGGTAGTCACAAGACAGTTCGAGACAGTCTACATGGTCAGAAAAACATAATGCACTCTTATTTTCTGGTGCTGATAGACAGGAGCTGGAGCTCAATGCGGCTGGCCGAATATGGATAGAATAGTTGTAAGCCGGCAATATGATAAGGATCTCATGGTAACCTTTTTCTTGTTTTTTTTTGAAATAGTAAAATATATATCTGCTTTAGATTTGTTCTTAAATTGTTATAGGTTAGTAGACAGTATCTGTTGTTGATCTGTTTCTGGTTTATGGATCAATTGAGTTAAAAGTGCAGTTGGCCGGCTTTGTTTATGGATCTTATGTTTTATGGCTTCAATGGTAAACAATACATCTATTTTACCTTTTCTATGTGTTTGGGTTGGTAATGGCATACAAAGTCAGGAAGTGCAAATTGCATCCCATTGAGTTGATCAGTGCATGGGAACCAAAAGTCAGTCTCATTCATCATTGTCTATGTGGCTGTTGCTAGTTCACTGCTTCCTTTCCTGGCTGCTGACTTCTCTCTTTATGGCTGTTGAGTTTTTAAGCTGATCTGATTGTTGACAGTTGTTTACCTTTTCCATATCTGCAGATTTGGAAATGCTTGCAATGAGAACATATAGTTCGTGTTTTGTGTAAATGTGACGATGCTAGTTTGAAAATCCGTATGTTGAGTTTGGGAGCATCGAATAGGTACTATTTGAGGACCATGTTACAAGGATCATTTCAGAAGCTACACATTTCTTTTTTACTGTACCATTTTGAAATTATGATCATTAAGTGCTGAAATATCAATGTTCACATACGAAAAACAAAATGAATAGGAGAGACAACGAATACTCCGTATATGCTTAGCCAAAAACAGTAGCTCAAGTTTGCTATGCTGGCAAGAAAGAACTAATGAAATCTTTCAAGTTTGAAATATCTCGGCCATTATTCGAACTCTCTTCTTGTATACAAGAACATTCAAACTTGCTCGTGTAATTTAGAACCTGAAAGCCGTCAATCCAAACACCTTCAACGGTTTACATAGATTTATAAACAGATGAAATGCTTGTCCATCCTGAATATGTGGAAAAGGTGACAATTCAATATCTCAATTAACCTTCAAGCCTTCTATATGGTCTTGGCTTCATACATTGTTTCATATAATCAGTCCATCATTAACACGAGTTAAAAACATGTCTACTCATTAATATCACCATAATAAGTCTAAAACCACCATAATGTTATAAGCATATACAAAAACAGACCACCATAATGTTATAAGCATATACAAAAATATTGTTCATCACATAAGCAAACAGCAATGAAATCACAGACTCCATATCAAGCCCCTCTTTCTCTCATCATCAAGCCCAAGAAACATTTTCCTCCACAAGGCATCGTCACAAAACATAGTTAAGGCCTTGAAATAACGATCGCTATCAAGGCCTTCCATGCTATCCAACGCCGCCACGAAGGCCTCAACTCTAGTCATGTCCTCATCAACTTCTACACCACCACTTGTTCTTCCATAAACATCAGATTCAACAACCTTCTCTATTGCTTCAGCCCTCCTCCAATAATCACCAAATACGTTCATGACATTACACATTGCCTCTAGGAAGTCGTCTTCACTGTCCGTACTAAGAGAATCAAGAGCATTAGAGGCAGACGTGCCATCAAACAAATCGGAAAGCAAGTCGTAGTGTTTGCATCCTTTTCTCTGAAGCCGCTTAGCATTCTTGACTTCCTGCAATTACATTTTATTGTTAATTATATAAATAAATGGACACTATTACAAGTATTAAAATTCCAACTAACCTTGTACATCTTCTCCCATTGAGCCTCAGTGAGCGTCACCTGCCCAGATTTAGAGTCCCATGATGAACCAATGTTGGATAAAAATTCCTTATAGGACTTGTATCTGTCTCTCAATTGATAGAATTTATTCCTTAATTGTTGTCTCGTGTAATCCCTACACGTCAACCTTTTCATCCCCTCTTCTATGGCTTTCCAACCTTTGGGATAAAACGTGGTTGTTTTTCGATTTCCTTTCTTTTTTTCCTCTTCCATTAACATTATAAAGTATTCTTCAAATTTATCGTTCCATATTTTACCATCATCAGATCCAGTCTCGGCCACCTTACTGTCCTCATCCATGAATTGAGTATATGGATCCATCAATACTTTGTGCTGTTAGATTAATAAATTAGATAATGCATTTGCTAATAAACAAGAGCATAATTAATTAAGAGAGAACATAAATTAGGAAATCTGCACGTGTATTACTTCCGCTATAGTTGCAAGTAAAATTATTTACAAATTCTCATAAAGAATATGCAACGCAGTAGAAATTATATACTAATCTCTCCTACATATACCCATATTATTCTAATGACCTACCAATTGATTAGATTGACAACTAAATTCTCTGCGGTGTTTTACCAAACAAGTAACATGCACCCACAAAAATTCTCAATTTGTCAAACAACATTGGACTCTGATCATCTCAAATTGACAATATGAACACAAATGCATCCACAAAATCGTGTTTCAACCAGATCCATAAGTAAAGGAAAATGGGAAAAAGAGAGGGAGATAAACAGTAAAGTCAGAGGAGAGAAAGATAGAAAGTTACCTTTGTAGCCCGATCGTTGTTGTGGTGAAAAGAGTTACTAGATGAGATGGAAAGAGAGAGATGTATAAAGAGCTTTGGTTCAGAGGAAGAAAAGTGAGGGGGTAAAAAATGAAATGTTGGCGGGAGGGACAAAATGAAATGTTCAAATAATTCAAGTTTCAACTTTTAAGGGATAAGTTGGTAATTTTGTCTACTTATATGGGAATTCGGGAAATACTTGCTAGTGGCCTACTTGTTCAGAATTTTTTCCTGAAAAACTCTTAGGTCCAATTTATATTAAATGGATTTGACAGTCAACAAAACGCATTTGAGCAGATTATATAATAAAAATAAAAAAAGAATATGTTTTTTTTTCATTTTTTCCAAATATGAAAGGAAAAATGTTTGTATCTTCCGTATAGTTAGTAAAATATGATGAAAAAATCAGGTTATAATTGGCTTTTTTCATAAATAAAAATCTATTAACAAATTAGCATAAAAGAATGAAAATAAAAAAATATATATGTATACAGATATGTTTGAATATAATTTCTTTTTTTGTTTAAAAATTCGACCCCACATGCTATTTTTCTTCTCATATGCCTTATATATTTTCCTTTCAATAATGTATATTTTTTTACCATTCATTTCAATGGTAGAAATCAATAGACTAGAAAATATGGTGAAAAAACAGGGAGTATGCAAATATATATATAGATGGAAAAGAAGAGGAAGGCCATTGAGAAAAAGTGATATAAAAGAGGGTTGTTTAGTAATCTTGGGCATGGTTAGCAGTATGGCGATACGCGATTTGTATCGGCCAGTTTACATTGATTTTGTTCGAGTCATTTATATTGCAACCGCAATCGATATTACGACCTTAACCGACACTAGAAACTATGATCTTGAATGATGTTAAGGACATATATGACAAGAAATTGCTTGGAAATTTCTTGGGTTCATGAACTTCTTCCATTTAAATTTCCAAGCAACTTATCATCATTTATTTTCTCAACCTCATTCATCATTATTATAAATCTTCAAGTTTTATATATAGGATAAAGTGAAAAAAATAAAAAAAATAATAATAATAAAAAACCTTGAATTATCTTCAAATTTACAAATAACTCCCTTTTAAATATATTTTATGCATAATACCTTCTAAACTATCATATTTTGTTACAAAATGACCCATACCTGATATATTTTTCATTCATATGACCATAATTCTGTTTCTCATTGGTTACACTTAATCCATTTTACTTATTATAAATTGTGTAAAAAGTTAATTATAATTTGATGATATACTTTACATTAAATTTGCATAAATTAACCATTAATTCTTAAAATTAATTGTTTAAATAAAAATAAGGTAAAGTACAATGACACCCCTGAAGTTTAGGATAAAGACAACTAGATACAAATTGGTCTATTTTTGGACAATGACACCCTCTTGTCAAAAATTTGATCCAAACAACCCCTTAAAAATGATTAAAAGCCAATATTGCCCTTTAATATTTTATTAATTTAAATTATAAAATATCAAAACTCTTAAATGATGGTTTTACTCTTATACACTTATTATGCCTATATATATATATATATATATACATAATTGTTCACTTGCTCCCTGGTGTGCAAGAAAATGTATGCACACCTCGAGTATTAACGATTAGATTCCATTGGACAGTTAAAAAAATAGTTTATTCTTTTATATCCAACGGTTAAGATTTAATTTGTGCATAAATTCCTTACACACCAGTGAGCAGGTGAACAGTCATATATATATATATATATATATATATATATATAGGTCTTGGTGGTGGATGTCATGGTTGGTCGAATCTTTGGGGCAGGTCTGGGTGTATGGTGGTTTGAGAGAAAAAATGGGTTTCTCAAATAGATTATACCTGGTAACCCATTTAAACCTATTTGATCCAATGGTATTTAAATCAATTGTATTTGTCAATTTTATATCAAAGGGTAATAAAGTCAATTCACCATTGTTACGGTGTCTTTGTCAATTTATCAAACTTGAAAGTGTGTCATTGTTCAAAAATAAACTAATTTATATCTTGTTGTCCCTTATGCCAAAATTCAGAGGGTGTCATTGTATTTTACCTTATAAAAATAAGTAATTTTTTAAAAAACAATATAACTAATTTATTAAATTTTCATGAATATTTTGTATGAAAAATAATATATTATTTTACGATAAATAAGTTTAAATAGAGTCTAATAAGTTTTATTATAAATAGTAAAGTTTTAATAATAAATTAATTATCTTAAAAAATGATACTTACAACTCCTTTTTTCTTTTCTTTTTTCATTTTTATGATAAATTGATACAAATAATAATTATTTTAAAAATGGTATAATTATATGACAAATTTAATTTTAAAAAGGGTAAAATAGGCTTTGTGATGAGTTTGTGTTGCACTATACCATATGCTCTCGTTGTTTGTTACTACTACTACTACTACTACTACTACTCTACTGCAAATTACTGAGAGAGAGAGAGAATCAATCGACCATGGCTACCAAACCATTTCAACAAAGTCGCAAAACCAAAACCAAAACCATATACTTGATACCTTCACCTACTACCTTTATGTTCTCATTGAGTGGTACCATCAACGTCTACAATGCTTATGCCGGTGGCTCCTCTTACGCGGCTGCTTTCATCCTTTTGATGTTTTGTGTTTCGTTGATCACAGAATACCATTTCTCAGATTATCGAAGATTCTTGAGTCCAGCCAAGAAATCATATGGGAAAGATTTGTTGAGATTTGGGTTCTGGTTCTCATCCACAGTGATCATGTTTGGCTTTGCATTCCGGCTCATGATGGCTGCTGCTTCTTCGCTTTTCTTCCTGGCTGCTTTCATCTTCCCTCTCCTGGGCTTTGCAACTGTTGGCAGCGCCTACCTTTTCCATATCTGCAGATTTCCTGGTCATGATATTCACTGCTCTTGCAATCACGATAGAACACTTTATTGTTCTGGTTTTAATGTGGTTTTATATTGAATATCCAGGTAGTGTTTTCTTTATATTTTATCATCTTGGTTGTTAGTAGTTTAAATGCATGATCATTTAGATTGGTGTTTTCAGTGTTTCTTACAACATTTATTTTACTTGATTGGGTTTATTTGAGGTGTTTTTTGGGGCGGATTGCAAGGAATTTGCTACTTCTGGGGGTGTTGTGAACCCTAGATTTTTACATAGTTGGTTTGATTATTATAGGGCATGGTTTTCTGCCATTGTTGTATCTATGGATTGTTTAGAGAATGCCCAAACAAAGCCCTGACATTTTGTTGCGATTGGGGTTCTCGTTTGGATGGTCATATATAGAGGTTGGAAGGTGGCTGGTCGCAAAAGGGGCCAAACTTCATGGAGGAGGAAGGCGGCCCTCCAGGTTTACCCGAATTAAATTACTAATAATTCTATATTTTTAATTAATAAAAAATAGAAAAAAAAATATTTTAAAATACTAAAAAATTATGAAAAATTGTGAATATATAGTAGTAACCATTATGAAAATTCTCTTTAAGGCTCTTTGTTTGGAATATCAAAGCCATGGATTATTAGGAGTGACAGTGAGTAACTCTGTTAATATTGTCCATGCCATTGGTGGGGTAAGTGTTTTTTTCAAGTCCACAATGCTCAACAAGAATTATGGTGCCTTCCTCATACCTATAACTGAGAAGCTTTGATTCCTAGACCTGTAGTTCAATTACCTAAACAGTTTACAATAATCTAATAAACCAGATGCCTAGTTAACTGTTGACATAAAAACCAATCTTGCAATGTTTATATATTAGTTATAAAGAAGACAGCAAATAGAGGAACTGTATTTCTTTGTTTACTGAACAGCCCCATCAGATCGAATTCTTGGTCCAATTTCTATGTCTCATTCCTGCTAAATAGTTTTCTCATTCTTTCATACATTTTGTTCTGAAACAACTCTGTGTTTTCCGATCATAATGAAATAACTAAAAGACGTGTTTGATTATTTTATTGGTGCAGGTATTCAACTGTTTTATGGGTGATGATTATGAAGCAAAATAAATAAATAAATAAATAAAATAAAATAAAATCAGTTACAGTTTAGAAGTTGTTGGAAATTGCAGAAAGTTAACATGGCAAGGAGTAGTTCCAAGGAGCATTCGTGATAGTGATAAGACAGTTCGAGACAGTGTAGATGGACTGTTTATTCAGAAAAACATGGCACTCTTCTTTTCTGGTGGTGACTGACAGGTGCTGGCCGGCAATATGATAAGGATCTCATGGCAACTTTTTTAGACAGTAAAATATATATCTGCTTTAGTTTTGTTCTTAAATTGTTATTGGTTGGTAGACATTAGTATTTCTCTCTCTTTGTATATATATATTTCTATGTAAATGGGCTAGATTTACAATGCTGGGTAGTTGTTGATCTGTTTCTGGTTTATGTGTCAATTGAGTTTAAAGTGCAGTTGGCTTTGTTTATGGATCTTATGTTTTATGGGTTAAATGGTGTCAATAACATCTCTTTTCCCTTTTCTATGTGTTTGGGTTGGTATTGGAATACAAAGTCAGGAAGTGCAAATTGCATCCCATTGAGTTGATCACTTAGTGTTGTATGAACCCTAGATTCTTACATAGTTGGTTTGATCATGATCAAACCCTAGATTCTTACATAGTTGGTTTGTTCAATTTAAGCATATCACAGTTTCTTTCCAATGAGAGTATGGGAGGTTCATGAAGTAAATGGACTGATTATTTAGAAAAGTTTAGTTTCTTTGTTGAATTTGTGATTCTTGCCATGGGGTAAAAAAAATTTTTGCTCAGTTGCTAAGTAAACAGTTGATAAGAAAGTTAGGAACAATATTCGAGTGATTTACCACTCCAACCACAAATGAAATTTTTTGGAATTAGCATTTTTATTCCTCTTTGTTAAACATTTAAGTTCTTAAGTTCATCTAATGAATGTTGTCAATCATAAACTAATAATTGTTTCACTCCGCATAAATATACACCTATATCATAATAAATCAGTGACAAGAAACATTTTGCTCAATAGATTATACAATTTGTACAAAAAATTCAATGTACCAACATCAAGCACACACCGGTCTTAGAGAATGAGAAGTGGTTGTTTATACCATTTTTAAAACCAGATGTACGATTCATATTTCATATCATAAAATTTTCAGGAAAAATAAAAAATAATTACAGTTAAAAAAAAAAAATTAAGAATTTGAATAGGAAGGTGATATGTTGACACTAGAATCTGTCAAATTTGCTCTGTGATCAATGTGGTCCATTCCAAACTTCCCTTGTCCTCGTTCATTTTCTTGCTCGGTAGTGGCGACTACTCCATGGTTGCTTTTATCATTTCGATATTTGTTTTTCTGCTTGTCGTATGGTCGGATTATCGAAGATTGCCTCCAGACAATAAATCACTTGGGAAGGATTTCTTGAGATTTGCCTTTTGGTTCTTATCCACGGTTATGATTTTTGGCTTTTTGGCGTCGCAAATCAAATCGCGGATTTAGGTTCAACGCTTGTCTTCCTGGCTGCTCTCTTGCCTCTTCACGGCATTGCATTTGTTGGCAGTGCCTACCTTTACCATATCCGCAGATTTCCTGGCCATGATGGAAATGCTTGCACTGATGATTGCTGCAGCAATGAGAACACAACACTTTATTAAATTGTTTAAATGTGATATTAATTTGAAAATCGGTATCGTTTTCTGAAAGTTGGTAGTATGAAAAACTGTTGAAAACAAAGACCAATTTAGAGAATAAGTTTGTTCAGTGGATATTGTTTCCTGTTTAATTTCACTAGTATTTTTGAGGACCATTTACAAGCTTCATCTCAGAAGCTACAAGCTCCTTTTTTATTCTGGATACTACATACTACCACTTTGAAATTATACTACTGTTCATAAAAAGAACGAGACATAAGTGCTGAAATATCAATGTATGCTTAGCCAAAAACAGTAGTTCAAGTTTGCTATCCTGGGAAGAAAGAACTAATCAAATCTTTCAAGTTCGAAATCTCTCAGCCTCTCTTCTTGCATACAAGAACATTCAAACTTGCTCGTGTAATCAAGTACCTGAAATCCGACAATCCAAACACCTTCAACAGTTTACATAGATTCATAAACATGTGAAATGCTTGTTCATCCTGAATATGCCCAAAGGGTGACCATTCAATATCTCAAGTAAATAGGCATAACCTTGAAGCCTAGAAGTTCTATATGGTCTTGGCTTCATACATTGTTTCATATACTATGTCTATCATTAACACAAGTAAAAAACACTTCTATTCATCATAATTCAATAATATCACCATAAAAAGTCTAAAACTAAGCATATACAAAAAAAGACCACCATAATGTTATAAGCATATACAAAAATATTGTTCATCACATAAGCAAACAGCGATGAAATCAGAGACTCCATATCAGGGCCCCCTTTCTGTCATCATCAAGCCCAAGAAACATTTTCCTCCACAACACATCCTCAATGAACATATGTGCGGCCTTGAAATAACGATCGTTATCAAGGCCTTCCATGCCGTTCAACACCGCCATTAAGGCTTTAATTCCAGTTTTGTCCTTATCATCATCCCCAAGACTAGTGGATGTTCTTTTGGCCGAAGAGTGGGCACCGGCACTAGTGGCAGATGTGTCGTCAAACAAGTCGGAGAGCAAGTCGTAATGTTTGCATCCTTTTCTCCGAAGCCGCCGAGCATTCTTGACTTTCTGCAATTACATTTTATTGTTAATTATATAAATAAATGGACACAATAACAAATATTAAAATTCCAACAAACCTTGTCCATCTTCTCCCACTGGGCCTCGGTGAGTGTCACCTGCCCTGATTTAGAGTCCCATGACGAACCAATATTGAATAAAAATATCTCATAGGACTTGTATCTGTCTCTCAATTGGTAGAATTTATTCCTTAATTGTTGTCTGGTGTACTCCCTACCGATCAACCTTTTCATCCCCTCTTCGATGGCTTTCCAACCTTTGGGGTAAAACGTGGTTGTTTTCCGATTTCCCTTCGTTTTTTCCTCTTCCATTAACATTATAAAGTATGCTTCAAATTTATATAATTTATTCAATGAAGCAAATAAAAATATATAATTAATAATTTTAAAATACAGTACTAGTGTATTTTTAATTACTTTTTTTTATCCTTACAATTAATTTTTAATTTTTTAATTTTTTATTCTTTTATGGTAGTAGTACCACTAGGCACTAGTATCATGTTGTTGATTTTATAAGGATAATACTTTTTATTAATAATTGTAAGGATAATACAAAATTGAAAATCAATGAAGCAAACCACGATCCAATCCTTGAAGGTTCCCAGACAATATGCTCTTTTATAATTTATCAACTCAATTAGAATGGGAATGGGAATAAGTTACTAATTTGTCATTATCACATAAAATATTCAAATATAATTATTGAACAAGTCCTATATACTGGATACAACCAATTATTCCAGATTTTTACTAAAAGCCAATTCCAATATATTATTGTTGTTTATAGCTTCTTTTCTTCTTTGCAAGTAAAATTACTTCCAAGTTCCCTTTTTTTTTTTTTTTTTTTGGTAATTCAAAATTACTTCCAAGTTCAAATAAAGCATATCTAACACACTATAATAATTATATTAATAGCTCCTACATATACCCATGTCATTCTCTAGACATTCCAACCAACTAGAATGACAGCTAAATTCTCTCTGGTCTTTTACCAAACAAGTAACATGCAACCACAAAAATTCTCAATTGTCAAACAACTTTGTACTCCAAAACCATCTCAAAATAACAAATTTAACACAAATATGCGCACAAAATTGTGTTTCAACCAGGTCCATTCAATAAATATAATTCAAAACAAAGAGGGAAAAAAAAAATATATATATATATATATATATATATATATATACATTGATAAGAAGAAATAAAATAGAAAAGAAAATGAGTGAAGAAAGGATCTGTAAGATGGAGAGTGAAGAAGGAAGAGAGAGAGTGACCTCTGCATGAGAAGAAAAGAGAAGAGTGAGAGAGAAAAGAAAACCTGTCGTTGGAGCGGTGAAAAGAATTTACCAAATGAGAGAGGGAGAGAGAGGAGCTTTGGTTCAAGAGGAAAAAGAGAGGAAGGAGGGTAAATTTGAAATGCTGGCGGAAGAAACGAAATGAAATGTTTTTCTTTTTCTAAGTAAAATGTTTACTACTAAAATATTATGTCTTACTTATTCTCCCTACTAAATTTTAATTTGTTTCGACGTAAGATATATATATATATTTTTATGAGCTCGTTTATTAATATTTTTACTTTTTTTCTTTCATTTTCTTCAAAAGTAAAAATTATAATTTTACTTTTTTTAAGATAAAAAAAAAAATAAAATAGTGTTTAATAAGAAAATTTTATTTTTATTATTTTGAAAGTAAAAAATAAAAAGTAAATTTAATAATTTTAGTTTTAATTTTACTTTCCTATTATATTTCTGAATCTAAAAAAAACTGAAATCTTAGCCGAGCCTTTGCAATCCTCGCAAAGAAGACAAAGCACGACGAGATGGATTGAAACGGCGATGACTTTCAACGAAATTGTGTTCGGCGACGGCGAGCACCACACATCCGACCACCACCATATCCAACCCCACCGCGGCGAACCCATTTCACCCATAACCTTCCTTCATACCCATCAGTTCATTCATCACATGAAGATGGTGTTCAAATCCCTAACGCAAAACATGAGTATTAACATTCCTGCAGATTTCAGATTCTCCCATCATTGCGCAAGCCTTTACAATGAAAGGAAAAGTCAACCCATCAGCCCCAACCCCAATTTCGCATCCGATGGTAAACACAGAGACTCTCTTTATACTCTGACATTAGCTTTCCAGATTGAATTCCACCAAATCAAATTCAAATTGCATTCAATTGGGGTGGTTTCAAATTCTTCCCGCTTATCCTCAAGTTGGGTGGTTTCAAATACTTCCCAAGCATCCACAATTTGGGTGGTCACAAATGGTAGTACATTACCAAAGAAGGTGATCAAAGAAATTGAAGATTCCACTGTGGGTGTTACTGAAGTGGCTTGCCCTGATCTGGGTTCAATTATGGTGATTAGTAATAGAGACGCAGAGGCTCCAGCAACAGGCGTGGGTTTGTTAGGCAGTGAAGAAGATGTCGAGCACTGTCTAAAATGCGCACAGGCAGCAAGGAACGACAAGCTCCGAATGGATTTCGGTGGTTGTGAGGCTTGGGATATGCCGGCGGTGCACCGAAACAGCGTCCGATCCTATACAATATTGGGATTTAAGAAAGGAAAATGAGTCATTGCTCGTCGGCGATGGCGTGCTTGTCGAATCGACGCCGCCGTCTTTGGCGGTGTACGAATCGGAAGAGCGAGGATCTATAAATCCCTTAAATTTGATGGGTAGAAGAGTTTGGGCAGATGGAGATATGGTGGGTTCAAAATGAGAAGCCTTGAAGAACAACGATAAGCCTTCGGTTGTGTCGTCCATGGTAGATTGAGGGCGAGCATAGAGAGAAGAGAGAAGACGTTACAAACGAGACAGCAACTCACGCACAACTTATTTGGGATAAACAGTGGCCCGTGTGGTAATAGTGTAAGAATCAATTTCCCGCTACAGTCCAGAAAATATAGAAAGCATCAAAAAGTCACTTTTCACTTTATTCATTAAAACTGATTTCACTTTCTCTTTTTAGAAATCATAATCAATTTTATTCAACATAATTTTACTTTTATTTTTACTTTTTCAGAGTTGACGGTGGAAAACAAAAATTATTTCCTGTTAGTAAACAGGCCCTATGTAAATTTTTTTTTTTTTCATTTAGTAAAAGTTTAGGTCGAATCTATAGAATAAAGTGTGTAAAATAATCTGCTAAAATTGATGAATGTATTATTTTTGTTAGATTTAAATATATTTCTTCTTTGTAAATATTTTACAACAATAAAACACCAGAAAAATATTTACGCCCAACAATACAGAATTTTATGGCGAAAATTGAAATGCTTGCTAATTATGCTATGCAGGATTTTATTAGCCCACAAATAGTTTTTTATTACTAAGAAAGAAGTTCCATTTGCCCTTTGTTATGCACTATCTTATAGTAGTTCATCTTCAGGTAAAACTAAAGCACCCACTGTACTTGCTTATTCATATAAAATTATAATTTTTGTTTTAGACCAAGAAAAAGTTCCTCAAAAATATTCATTATTGATTTATATTAATATGATTTATGTAAATCAAAATTATTGTCCACTAGTGATACATCCTGACTCTTTAAAATGAAAAGTTGAGACTTAAGCAATGTGAAAGTAAAATGTCGGTACGTGAGTGTTTTTAACTTTTTATGAATAAAAAAAAAAGGCAAAAAAAGTATAAAACCCCTCTCAAGTATTAAAAATCAGCATTTTATCCCCTCGAACTACAAAATCGAGCAAGTCAGTTCCTCAACTATCAGAAATGATTAGTTTCACCCCGGCAGTCCTTTCCGGCTCATTTTCGGTCACTGTCATTATACATTTACAAAAATACCCATTATAATTAACATTTTAAAAAAAGCAAATAAAATTAAAATTGGGAAATACCATCAATACCCTCATGTTAATACATCACCTCACTCTCCACAGTTCACTTGAAAAATTTAGAGAGAGAGTAGAGAGAGAAAATGGGTAAAGGAGGGATGTCTCGTGGTGGTGGTGGTGAAGAAGATAACTTGGGCAGCTTGGCTTGTTAGTATCAATACCCTCAAAATTCAACCTTTCAAGCTCCTTCCTCTGGGTATTAATCTTCTCAAACCGAATGTGACTTGCAAGGTGGAGAAACTCGGTGGCACAAAGCCGGCAAGACTAGGCCGGTCATGGTTAGTGGTAAACAGAAAGGGTGTAAAAAAATCCTAGTTCTCTACACAAACTTTGGCAAGAATAAAAAACCTGAAAAAACTAATTGGGTGCACCAATGTCACTTGGGTCAACATGAAGAAGAGAAAGAAAGAGAGCTTGTGGTATCAAAGATATTCTATCAAACTCAGCCAAGGCAATGCAACTGGTTTGACCCAAAGTTGAATAAGTGCACTCTCTCCCTGTTCTTTCTCCCTCTCTCTTACAAAGTATCTCATTAGTATAATGTTGATTCTTTGTCCAATGATGTTGTATGGTTAGTGAAATTGTTTCTCACTCCACATCTTTCTCTCTCTAAAAAGATATCCATATGTATATACATATATTTATGTCTAAGCACGCATAATCGAATAATGATCCTTTGAAATTTGAACAAAGGAGGCTCTACATTTTGAATCATTAGCAGGCATGTCTTTCGTTCTTTATCAATCTCATCTTCGAATCGCTATAGTCTTGTTATTTTCTATTTATGAGCATGAATATTCTGAGTACGATTGATTTACAAATGTTGTAGATAGAGTATTTGATTTATTTGCTACTAATTTGGGATTAAAGTTCACACCTCTAATATAAGGTTTTTTTTTTTTTTTTTGCATTGATTTAGTGGTTCTGATTTGTTCAAACTGATCTCATTTGGATTTAATCGAGTAAATGATGTCCCATTTGGTGTTATATCATTTGGGTATTACCCATTTTTGGTCTTGTTTGGAAATATGTATTCTTCAGTTTCTGGGAGCTTTTGAAGATACAAACAGTACTAGTTTCAAGAATGATTGTTTAAAGTTCATTCCTCAATGGTGTTATATGCTCAGGAATATAATCCTGTGTGGAAATATTGTTTCACAACCTTTATGACCCGATAGACTTGTTCTTTTAGGTTTTTGCAATATTCAATTATTGGGTCCGTCCTTTGTTGGATATACTTCTTTAACAATGAACTTTTTTTCACACATATAAATATAAGTTCCACCAGATTACCTATAGATTTGAAAATATACTCTGCCCATTGGTGGTCCTTAACCATGAATATCCTAAAATGCAACCAACAAAAAAAATTCAAATGAATTGAGAGGCAAGGCTACTCCCAAGATTTTTTATGACACTGCTCAAAGGACAACCTCTACTTATACAAAGATATCACCACACAATTGCTAAAATGGAAAACATATATACATATAGATTATATATATATATATATATATAAAGTACAGAAATACACACACACATATATATACACCCATCTGACCTTAACTTTTTCAACTTTAATGGAGTCTTTTTTTCTGCACCCGGAGAGGGGAGCAGTTGCAGTTGCAGTTGGAGGAAGAAAGAAAGGAATTTTGGACTCAATTTATAGACAGGGCTACAACGGTCATATTGCAAGGGCAGTTATGGAATTATATCAGAAAGTATCCTCACGCGCTCCATTTGTGCCGGAAAGGATTGTCTAGGGGTGAAACTGATCATTTCTGATAATTGAGAGATTGACTTGCTCAATTTTGTAGTTTAGGTGGGTAAAATACTAATTTTTAATACTTGAGGGAGGTTTTATGTTTTTTTGCCTAAAAAAAATGATTTATGTACCAAATATATTCGAGTTCCTAAATTATCTACTCACGCGTCATCGATTTCACGTAAAAACCTAAAACACACCCTCACCAGTACTCTGGTATTTTACACGCCTTTTCACCGAGTCCCCGGTTTAGCACACCCAGACAATGGCGGCAAGAGTAGCCCGATCAATCTTGGCCGTGCGATCATCGTCATCCTATCTGTGTTTCTCCAAACGGCTCCTCTCATCCTCTTCTTCCATAGCCAAAGCACCTTCATTTTCTGGCTTTGTTCGATCAATCGGATCCACGAGCTTGGTCTCTCACACCGTCCGGTTCGCCGCTCCAGCGGCGATTCGGTTTAACCAGATACGGTGTGAAGTGAACAGTTCCGGCGGGTCTACCTACTTGCCGCTTAACTCCGGGTCGAATATCGTCGAACGGCCTCCCCCGGAGATACTTTCGCTATTTCCGGGCTGCGATTTCGAACACTGGCTCATTGTCATGGACAGGCCCGGTGGCGAAACATCCACCAAGAACCAGATGATCGATTGTTACATCCAAACACTTGCTAAGGTTCTCGGAAGGTAAATTTTCTCACACACATATAGTATAGTTATGAATATAAATACATAAATAGAAATGATTGTGGAGAGAGAAATATACAGATATAGACGGAGAGAAAGGGTTTTTGTGTGTTTCTGCGTGAGATAAATTATTTGGGGGAGGATTTTGCCTAGAGAGAGATTCTAATTTTAACCCTAACCCTACCTTTTACTTTGTCTAATTACTAAATTGTAGGGTTTATGCATTTTAGTAGGTTAGTATTAGGCCTAATGGAGATCTCTATTTCTAATTAGGTAATGAAGACTCCAAAGATTTTTTTATGTTTCTTTATGTTGTCTATTACAATTCATGTGTAGTTTTGGGTTTATCATTATGGTAAAAGTGTACTTGTTATGGCATATCAGCGAAGAGGAAGCAAAAAAGAAGATTTACAATGTATCTTGTTCTTGTAAGAAGTACTTTGGGTTTGGGTGCGAGATTGATGAAGAGACATCGAAGAAGCTTGAAGGTTTGTGTGGTGTGTTGGTTTCTTAGTTGTAATTGTGTGAGATAATTGATTTAATTTGAGTGATCACATTTTCCAAATTTTATAGGTCTGCCCGGTGTTCTGCATGTCCTACCTGATTCTTATGTTGATGAAGAGACTAAGGACTATGGTGGTAAGTCTTCTGAAAATATATCAAGCTGCTATCTAAAATGTCATTAAGATTTCTGTTAAGAGTGCAATGATGATGTACATGCGAACTATCTTAGATTATGTTTTCATTCGTTGATACATATAGTTCTTTGGCAAATACATTTCTTCATGTTTGTGTTACATCATCATGTATGCAAGGTTATTTTTTATTTATTTTTAATCAGAAGCTTTGACATGTCTGAATTAAGTTACTTTTATCATAGGACTAGCTTGTTAAAAAGTGATGTGAATGTCGTTGACGCTCTTGTCTACAGTATTTGTATTTATTGTTGTACATGTTTCTTCTTCTTTGCCCCAATATTATTTTTATTATATGTATATTTATATATAATATTTTTATATGCTAAAGAGCTTAAGACAAAAAAATCAATAGGGTTGCCCATGCAGCCTGCGCTTTTGCCTTGAGACCTCCCCTAATAAGGCAATAAGCAGTACATTATGCTTTCCACTACAATGGACACAGAACAAAGCTATCACTAAGGGCCTGTTAGCTAACATGAATTAATTCCTACTTTTGCTTTCTCGAAAAGTAAAATTATGATTTTGATTTCTTAGAACTAAAACAGAAACTAAAATCATGTTCATTTTCAAAATTTGAAAGCAAAACACACAAAATGTGTTTAATAAAAAAATGTGTTTTTGCTTTTGGTTCTTGAATTGGAACAATAGTTAAAACTTCGAAGTTGCATTTAGAGACATAATATAATAAAGTTGCATTTTTTAGAAATTGGAAATTTTAAAAAAAAAAAAGAAAAAAAAAAGATCTTTATATGATGCAACCTTCACGAAATAATTGTTTTTAGATCTTTATATGATTAGGGCTGTGAGATATCAATTACATTTGAACTTAATAATTCACAAGAATAATGATAACTGTATTGCAAGACTTGGCAAGAACAACTAAGGACAACAATATGATAGAATCGCATGATAGAAGTAACATGGAGCATATTATAACATGAATCCAAATAGCATCCAAATAGAAAATTAATCCAAATAAAGTGGCAATTTTACATAATTCAAATAGAAGTGATTCATCTATAACGATAGTTGTTTCACAACTCATTTGCAATTAGCTCACGGGATCCACCCATTTATTGAATTTGCTCCTATGTAACATTTACTCGACTTTGAGAAGGTGGTGCCTTTCCGATTCCCATTTTTTCTTTCTTCTTCCATCAAAGAAAAGGTGGTGCCTTTCCGATTTCCATTCTTTCTTTCTTCTTCCGTCAAAGTTATGAAGATCTTTTCATTTTTGTCACTCCATACAACTTTAGTACTTTGATCCTCAGCCACGTTGTCCCCATCCAATAATTGAGTACTTTGATCCATCACTATGACAATAAAGATTGTATCTTGTTACAGATACTAGTGGCTAAGGAATAGGAATCCCATTAGGCAGTTGTTAATTGACTATCAAACAAAATTAACCACTCATAGGCACACAGAAACACACGGTAAAGTTAGGTTAGGGATTAATAAAGCTGCCCGCATTGGTTCTAGCAATTAATCCATCAATGAAATCCAAAAACAGGGAACAATTCATAGGCACGTACAAACACACACTATGTCAAGGAAGGCAGAGCAATTCTTCTATGAAAATCTGAAACTCATTGACATTTATTTTACAGGGGTGGATAAGTTCAAATTTGTATATATGCATCATAAACAACAGGGAACAAAATTGTCAAGTTAGGTGGAATGCTGAGTTAAATTTCATGCTACGAACACAAACTATAACTGGTAAGGAAATTAGCTGAAATCTTCATACAAGAGGGAACAAAATAGAATGAGAAAAAGAAATTCAGTTCTAACATATTGGATTTGGAAAATATCAGGCATTGTTATTCCCTTCTAAACATTTTGATATTTCATAATTGCTTTTCAACTTACCCAAGACCAAACATGAAAATGAGTATTTGAAGCTTGTATAGGATGTAAATTTGGACTTCTTTCTGATAAGCATGCATGCAATTTTGGATCCATATGTTGCAGTGTTAAATATGTATCAGTTTTTTGTTTAAAGATTATCGTAAATGTTACACCATATATATATAATATATATATAGAAGGCAACAAGAACCAAAGAAATTTGATATACAAACACAATACTATATACATGCACAGTACAAAACCAATGAACCCCACATAGAAAATCGTATATATATAAGCTTATAAGTATATATACCCACCAATATTAAGCTCATCAAAATTCCTTGTGTTCGCAACCAACTGACAATTTCCTAGATGGAGCGAAAAGGGTGCTGGAGAGAGGGAAAGAGAGTGGAGAGGGATTGGCTGGATTGGGCTATTAGAGAGACTAAGAATGAGGTGGTTGCAATGTTTACCAAACCAGCCCCAATTTCAAAGATGAATATACCAACAAAAAAAAAAAAAACCCTAAATTCTAGATTAAAACGATCACATTCTTTTTTTTTTTTTTTTGACAAGTAAAAAAAAATGACCACATTCACATAATGAATGTGAAGAAGATGAACTTGCCTTCACTCTTGATCGATAAATATCAAGAAATGGCCGATTCCTTACAGGATTTAAAAGATTTGAGATTTACGAAGGTTATATATATGTTTATGTATGTATATATATAGGCACACATATATGTTAATATAATACACACACACACACATATGTATATGATTCAAATCAAGTAAAGAACAATGATGTTTATTTTCCTAAACAGAAAAAGGGCAACCGAGATCTGAAAAGAAAATTCAACAAAAACAAAATTGACGAAAAAAACATCAGACCCCAATATAGATAGAGAAAAAAGAAATCTGAGAAGAGATAGAAAGAAGACCTTGCACACTTGCCAGCCATCGGCTGCCGTTGGTGTCGTCTCCGTCGCCGATCACTGGTTGTCACTAGTTGATTCTAGGATTGCTGTCTTCTAGTAACAATGTGAGGGTGAGGAAATTGTAAATCTTGTGATATAAACGAGTGGCTTTAGCGTCACTTTTATGGGGAGATAAGTAGCGCTATAGTAAGGAAAGTAATTCCTATGCAAAGTGGAGGAATCAAAGAAAGCAACTTTTCAGGAATTGACAGCAGAAAGTAGTTGGAATTAATTCCTGTTAGTGAACATGCCCTTAGTAATCATAACCAAATAATGTTTATCGATTGGGAAAATTTTAAAATAGTGTCAAATTCATGGTATATGTACAAAGAAAGTTATTTGTATTATTCTCAATTATGAGATCATTATATTATTATTATTTATTTAAAATGATTAACCAGTTTCCTCTATATATTTTTTTAGTGTTTTACCTTTTCATTCCTATTAGGTGCATTCCTTTTATACACTATATTTTCAATATTGGGATCCTTACATGTTGATTGTAATATATTTGAATGTTTATTGAGATTTCATTTTCTATGAAAGAGCCTGTTTGGGATTGCTTTTCAACCGCTTAAAGCACTTTTATTATTATTTTTTAAATTTCTTTTAGATTTGTTTGTTAACCATTAAAAACACTTTTAACTTTTAATGGTTACTTATTAAAAAAAACAACACTTTTAATGGTTGCCGATTTTAGTTCAGTAAAGCTTTTGAGTGAAGCTAAAATTTAGTTGCTGAGTAGAGGTGGTATATTTTATGTAATTGTTTTTTCTTAGACAATTTTATCCTTTTTTTTTAATTTTTCATAAATACAATTTTGCCCCCTTTTTTTTATAAAGTCGTCATTATATTGTAAAATTAGTAATAGGAATACTTTTAAAAATATTGTTGGGAAACAAATTAAAAAGTACTTTCATTGTGAAATGTACTTTATATATTTTATTATCAATCGCCTAACATGTTTATTTTTTCTTTTTATTTTGTTCTCCTAACAACATTTTTTTGATAGCGACAAAATCTTTTTTTTATTTATAATTCTAGTAGCAATGCCAAACGGGCACAAAGTAACTAATAAACGAGCTATATGTTATTGGATTGGGGTTTGGCGGCCACTAAGAAACAAAATATTCATAAAACGAGTGATTGAAACATGAAATTTTATACTGTACATTTTAGAAACTATAAGCAGTAAACTTGAACCTTAGTTAGAAATTTAGAATGATGACTTGAGCCTAACCTGTGACAAGTTTCTGACTAAATATTAGTCTCTGAAGCTCAAAGCTCGTAAGGATACTGTGAAGGGACAGAAACCTCATTGGGCCGAACGCGCCCAACCTGCCCATTTGGGAGTTGCCCCGTCCAACCGTCAAGTCCAACCACATTCATATCGAGCCTGCCCTTAAAATGGGACGGCCCAAGGAGAGAACCAGGCCTATTTACTCCCAACTTGGAGTCCAAAAAATTGGATTAGGGTAGCAAGCAGTGTAATATAAATAAGGAAACAAAGGAAGGAAGAGGGAGAATGTTTTGGTGTAAGAAAAAAGCTTTCCATCAATAGAAGGGGATTTTCTTACCATCTACATATGGTGCCGACACCGTCTGTGGGAAGCGACAAGTGATTTTCTTGTTGCTTTCCGATCTAATTGATGACACAACTGCGTTTTGGGACTATGGTCGGAGGACAAAGCATGCAACATCAGGAGGCTAATGAGACGACATGAACGATCGATAAGAAAACGCGGAGGTTGTGGAAATATTGCCCAGAGAAAATGCCGAGCTCTGATCACGATTGGAGCGCGAGATGGTGCCTCGTCCACCGCCACCGCCAACAGATCAGGTGGCGGCAAACGAGGCAGACCCTCAGAATGATTGAGCTGGATCTGTGCACCTTGACCCCCGTCGAAAGGAGTTTGAAGGCGAACTAAAGGATCAAGCGGCCAAGCAAGAAAGCACCAGCAAGACAGTTGCTCAGAGGTCAAATACACCCCAGGTGTTCGAAGAAATGTCCAAAGCAAATATTCGAATGCAAGTTTAACGTGAAGTGGGAGAGCGACTTAAGTACCTGAAGGCACCGACATCGGCTGACATGGCTGCAAAGGCCTATGTTGACATGGTCGATTCCCCTTTTACTAAGGAGATATTGAAATGTCCCAAACCGAAGAAGTACATTATTCCATCGTTCACGTCATTTGACGGGTCAAGGGATCCGATTGATCACGTTTACCATGTTCAGCTGAAGGTGGCCCTGCATAACGATGGCGATGCCCTAATGTTTCGAGTGTTCCCAACAAGTCTTGCCGGATAGCTCTCAAGTGGTTCAAACACCTACCAAAGGGAACTATTGGAAGTTTTCGCCAATTGTGCGAAGTATTCATGGCACAATACTTCGGAAATCAACAAATTCAGAAAAGCGTATCGAGTCTATTTACTGTGAAGCAACAGAAGGGATAAAGGTTGCGGGCTTTCCTCACTAGATTTAACCTCGAGCTGAGCATGGTCGAGGAATGTGATCAAAGAGCGGCAGTTGAAGCTTTCAAGCTGGTCCTCATTCTCGGAACTATCTTTCACGGTGCATTGGTTCGCAAAGCCCCAAAGAATTTGGGCAACCTGGGTGTCAAAGCACAAGGTTACATAACAAATGGAAGAGGAGGAAGCCGTGCAAATGCATAGGGCCACCATGGTTGCCATTGAGGGTTGTTCACATGACAAGATGAAGGTAGGGATGGCAACGGGACGGGTTTGGAGCGGGTTTCCCTAAATCCTGCCCCGCCCTTTTTAATTTTTGTCAAGTCCATGCCCGCCCCGAGACCCGCGACGGGTTGGATTTTCATATCCAGCCCCGTCTCGTAGGGAAATATTACGCCCCCGTGCCCGTCCTGTTAACAATTTTTTTTCTCCCACTTTTTGGAGCTTAAGCTCCTGCTATTTAAATGTGGAAAGTCTGGGAATGTCACAACATAAATGAAATTATGTATCCCAACAAAAATAAAAAAATAACATGCACATAACATAATTTAGAGAACATAATAAACAAAAATAAAAGTTTAATACAACCAAATCACAAGAAGTTCTAAGCTCCAACTTTCACCATAACTAAAACAAAAACAAATTTAATACCAAGTTTATATTTCAAATTAGGATTGTAAGAGATGAGTAACTGGGTAAGCTGCTAAAATAAGTTATTAATATTATATATATTTATATATATATATATGTATATATATATATATATATTAAATATAATTATATGTTTAGCGGGGCGGGGCCCCTAGGATATGTATACTGAACTCTTACCCACCTTGTGACCCGCGATGGGTACAAAATTTGTATCCATGCCCGCCCCAATGGTATAAAAAGTATTCCCATATCCGTTATTAACGGGGCGGGGCGGTAAAAATTGACATCCCTAGATGAAGGGGCAGAAACTTCACTGGGCCGAATGCAGCCTAGCTCGCCCATTTGGGAGTGACCCTATCAAACCGCCTAGTCCAACCACATTCATATCGGGCCCGACCCTTAAAATGGTACGGCCCAAGGGGAGAACCGGGCCTATTTACTCCCAACTTGGGGTCCAAAAAAGGGGATTAGGGTAGCAAGCAATGTAATATAAATGAGGAAACAAAGGAAGGAAAAGGGAGAATGTTTTGGTGTAAGAAAAAAGTTTTCCATCAATAGAAGGGGCTTTCCTTCGCATCTACATATGCTATAGCAAATGGCCGTAGCCTCCTAGATACTTCTTCTAATGTTGATTCCCTGGATAAGTAATCAAGTGTGGTCGGGAATGTCTGTTCTGCAATTTTTTATCACAAACTATTTCAATTTTAGAACTTTTCGGGAGGGAAAATGTTTCATTGCACACTCAAGATAGAATGGCAACATTTTTTGCACTGTTTGTTTACTTGACTAATACCAGGCTTACTATTGGCCCATGGGTGCAAGGTAGTATCGGGATCTTGTCCCCGGTATAAAAGGAGGATGTTCGTCTTCCCACCGAACCAACCTTATCCAACTAATCACCAACTATACACCTTACGTTTTTTACAAAAGAAAAGCAGTAATAGTCTAAAGTCATCATTCTCAGTTATTGGCCTATGTTTTCAACTATATTAGTACCACAGAGCTCTTAGTCCACATTGGAACCAGTGTAATATCAAATACAACCAATTACGGCTCAAGTCTTATTTACCCATATCTTGAAAAAAGGAAAGTTAAAATGTTCCATGATTCTGAATATATATGTTATTTGATGATTTGCAGGGGACCTGTTTGTGAACGGAAAGAGAGTTGAAAGGCCCCCCAAGCGTTCTTGGATGGATGAGACTCGTGTGCCTGAAAGAGCTCGAGAAGCACGAAGATTAGGCGAGAAGTGAAGAAGTAGACGAAGTGAAGAAGCGCCGTTAAAATATGCAGTAAACCATAATGGTTGTTCCATGTCATGTTGGTGTCATTTTTTGCATGATTGGAATTATGGTCTATAGTTGAGTATAAGAAAATAGGAGGATATCTTATCTTAGCTGCTGGTTACATCATATGCATGAAAAAAAGTTTGAGAGAGAAATAGTACAAGCTTTATGATCTCGGGGTGTCGTTCACCGTAAATATTTAATTATATCATGTTATCTATGTATTTATTTTTATCCGGTTGATACATTTTTTTTTTTTTTTCCCTTAAAAGTGTACGACCAGGTTAGTCCTATGATCCAATAACTAGATGATAGGAAGCAGCATATATATGTTTTAGGATGTTTTTTTGTTTTGCCAAAGCACTCTCACTAATTGTTGTACAAATGTACAAGGTATAAAAATTTGTCGTACAAATGACACCATAGGCATCCGCATTCGATCATCCCCTTTTTCACTCCATCCAAATTCAATTTCGTCTAACACAAGCCCACGGTAAAGGCAATTCATGATATTACCATATGCTGTTGTCAAGCAATTCTATAACTAAGAGTATTTATGAAATTGAAAAAATATATACTCATGTTCATCGTGAGTTTTTGTTCCTCCTGATATGCGCTGTTTCTGAGGGTTGATGGTTGCTAGGTTGCCGGAGTTGGGTTGTTTGTCCGCTCCTTTTTGGAGCTTTTTGGTGTTTTGCGCTGGGAGTGGATCTGATGCATCTGCGTCCTTTGCCGATGTCTGTCATCTCTGGTGCCTGCACTGGTGTGTTTGGTTTTCTCACCGGTGGTTTTTTTTCAGTAGGCTCATCACTGACGTCATGGGGAGGTCTTTCTGTAGCACTATTTTTTTTCTTTTGTTGTAGTGGTTTTTGTTCTACTGTTGACACCTTTTCTTTAGTTTGCAAGACTGATGATCTTGACTATAAGAGGTGTTTGTTAGCTTTGGAATAGTGAAAAAGAGTATTTACGAAAGTGAAAAAATATATACTTGTATATGATTATGCATGATATTGTGATGATTATAACTTTGAAATGTGAAACTCCTTCTTGGTAATTTTATATTGTGATATACTTTCATTTTCATTCCTTTTTATTTATTTGAAAGCTTTGACCAATTTTACTAATCTCAAATTTTTATTTTTTGTTTTTGTACTTTAGATGCAAAAGCAAATTTCAACCGAGTTTTAATTATTTTTTCTTCAATTCTTACTACTAATTACCCAAATTAATTGAAGTTTAGAACCGAATGATCCAACACTTGCAGGATGGTTTTCGTAGGTGTACTACTAAACTCGTAATAAATGTCAATTCACTTAACCATTCATTGCAACTTCGGGAGTAACCCTAAAAATTAGGGCATAGGCAAACACACTGAATGAGGATGATATACTAATTTTTTAAAATTTGTGGAGTTTTTAAATAATAGTAGAGGGGTTTATGATATTCACTATTTTTGTTTTCTTTTTTTCTTCATCCCTTTAAAATATCATTTTAATGCACTTAACCCTTATTCTAAAATTTGTATCACTTTTCTATTGAGGGTACAACCAATCATCCACTTACACGTCATCGATTGTACGTAAACTAAAACACCCCACACCAGTCCTCTGCTAGTTAAACGCCTACGCACCGAGTCATTTTATTTCACATGCCGGCCACAATGGCGGGAAGAATCTTGGCCGTGTGATCATCCTCGTCGTATCTATTCTTCTCCAAACGCCTCTTCTCATCCTCTTCTTCCATAGCCAAAGCACCTTCATTTTATGGCTTCGTTCGATCAATCGGATCCACGAGCTTGTTCTATCACTCCGTCCGGTTCGCCGCTCCAGCGGCAATTCGGTTTAACCAGATACGATGCATAGTGAATTTCAGCAAACGGCCTCCCTTGGATTTCCCTCTGCCATTTCCATTTCCAGGCTTGGATCACGAGCACTGGCTCACTGTCATGTACACGCCCGGTGGCAAAGACGCCAATTAGCAGCAGATGATCGATTGTTACATCCAAACACTTGCTAAGGTTCTGGGAAGGTAAATTTTCTCACACATATATACTCTAGATATGAATATATAATTATTTGGCGGAGGATTTTGGTGTTCTGTATGAGAGTTTTGTATGTTAGAGAGATTCTAGCCCTAGCCCTAACCCTAACCCTAACCCTAACCCTAACCCTAGCTTTTTAACTTTGCCTAATTACTAAATTTTAGGGTTTATGCATTTTAGTAGGTTAGTATTAGAACTAATGGATATCTCTATTTCTAATTAGGTAATGAAGATTACAAAGAGTTTATTATATGTTTTATTATGTTGTCTATTACAACTCATTTTTAATTTTGGGTTTCATCATTATGGTAAAAAATGTATTTGTTATGATATATCAGCGAAGAGGAAGCAAAAAAGAAGATTTACAAAGTATCTTGTGAGGAGTATTTTGGGTTTGGATGCGAGATTGATGAAGAGACATCGAAAAAGCTTGAAGGTGTGTGAGCTGTGTAGCCTGTGTTGGTTTCTTAGTTGTAATTATTTATGTTAGATGATTGATTTAATTTGAATGGTCGGTAACATTTTCCTAATTTTATAGGTCTGCCCGGTGTTCTGTTTGTCATACCTGATTCTTATGTTGATGTAGAGTATAAGGATTATGGTGGTAAGTCTCCTGAAAATCTATCTATATGCTATCTAAAATTTCCATTAAGATTTCCAGTTAAGAGTGCAATTCATGCACATGCCAACTATGTTAGATTATGTTTCCATTCATTGTTGATACATGAATTTGGTATAGATAGTTTTTCGCCAAAAACATTTCTTCATGTTTGTATTACTTCATCACGTGTGAAAGGTTATTTTTAATTCAGAAGCTTTGTCATTTCTGAATTAAGTTATTTTTATCTTAGGACTAGCTTGTCAAAAGTGATGTGAATGTCATTGATGCTCATGTCTATAGTATTTGTATTTATTGTCATATATGTTTTTTCTTTTTTACCCTAAATATTATTTGTATTATATGTATATTTATATATAATATTTTTATATGCTAAAGAACTTATAGACAAAAAAATCAATAGAACGCAGCCTACTCTCGCTTTTGCCTGAAGGCCTCACCTATTAAGGGAATAAGCAGTCCATTATGCTTTCCACTACAATGTACACAGAACAAAGCTATCACTAAGTAATCTTTATGGATTGGCAAAATTTTAAAATAGTGTCAAATTCATGGTAAAAGTACAGAGAAAGTTATTGTATTATTCTTATTTATGAGATCACTTTTTAATTTAAAATGATTAACCAGTTTCCTCAATAAATTTTTTGGTATTTTAGCTTTTCATTCCCACTAGGAGCATTTCTTTTATACACTATATTTTCAGTATTGGGTGAAGTTAAAATTTAGCTGTTTTTCCTTACAGAATTTTATCCTTTTATATTTTTCATAAATACAATTTTACCCCTTTTATAAAGTACTTTTTTATGAAATAAGTAACATTCTATTAAAGGATATTATTGTAAAATTAGCAATAGGAATGCTTTAAAAATACTGTTACGAAACAAATTAAAAAAGTACTTTGATTGTGAATTGTACTTTATTTAATTTATTATCAAACACTTAACCTGTTTTTTTTTTTAATACGTTAGCAATTTGATGATAGTTCTACTACAAGGTCCCTTTTTTTTTTTTTTTTAGGAACGGCAAACGGGTACAAAGTAACTATTGAACGAGCTATATGTTATTTTATTGGGGTTTGGCGGCAACTAAGAAGCAAAATTCTCATAAAATGAGAGTGGTCAAAACATGAAATTTCATACCGTACATTTTAGAAACTATAAGCCATAAACTTGAATCTTAGTCAGAATGATGACTTTAGCCTAACCTGTGACAAGATTCTGACTAAATATTAGTCTCTGAATCCCAAAGCTGGCAATGATACTGCTATAGCAAATGGCCATATCCTCCTCGATACTTCTTCTGGTGTTAATTCAATCAAGTATAGTCAGGAATGTCTATTCTACAATCTTTTATCTCAGACTATTTCAATTTTAAAGCTTTTCGGGAGGGAATATGTTTGATTGCACACACTCAAGATAGATTGGTAACATTTATTGCAGTGTTTGTTTACTTGTTTGTTTGATTAATACCAGGCTTACTACTGGGCCATGGGTGCAAGGTTGTATCGGGATCTTGTCTCCGGTATAAAAGGAAGGAGGATGTTTGGCTTCCACCAAACCTTATCCAACTATACACCTAATGATTTTTACCAAAGAATAGCAGTAATAGTCTAAAGTCGTCATTATTGGTTATTGGCCTATGTTTTCAACTAGTATATTAGTACAAAAGAGGTATTAGTCCACATTGGAAGCAGTGTAATATCAAAAAATACTACCGGTTACTGACAATCCAATATCTTGAAGTACTTCTTTACCCATATCTTGAAAAAATGGAAAGTTAAAAATGTTATGTTCCATGATTCTAAATATGTGTGTTATTTCATGATTTGCAGGGGAGCTGTGTGTGGACGGAGAGATAGTTAAAAGGTCTCCCGAGAGGCAAGAGAGAATGGACGCAGACCATAAATATACCGAATGGTGCCAGAGGAGGAACTTGGAGACAGACGAAGACGAAGACCCCGAACCCAGTATGCTATTCACAGGAATGAGTTATTACCGAACCCGTTATAATGAGTTGCGAGAGTTGCGCCGTAAAAGTGAAAATGGGCAGTAACTGGATGTCATGTTGGTGTCGTTTGTTTGCTTGATTGGAATTATGGTCTATAGTCGAGTATAAAAAAATAGGAGGACATCATATCTTAGCTGCTGGGACTAAAGCTCTTACATCATGCATGAAATGAATTTTCGAGAGAAAAATAATACAAGCTCTATGATATGAGGGCGTCATTGACTGTAAATATTTACAAGCTGTCTATTAATATTCTGGAATCTTTCACCTCCTCTCATATTGCTTTTGTTATTCTCCAATAGACCTCACAAATATTTACAAATTTTTTAACGGGAATTTCTTGTGTTTCTTTAATCTAAATTCAATTACATGTTGCTTCGATCGGATAAAATTTGGTTTTCTTTTTCCCATATGATGGTAAAAGTGGGATGAAATATCAATGAGAAATTGACAGGAGTATATTCTCTTCTGACTCTCTTTTCATGTTTTAATAACATGTTGCGTCATCACTTATGGCATTTCAATGCGACCGGGTGGCTATGCCCTTAAATTTGTCTTGACATTGATCCCATTTTTTTGGCACCGGACAAATACCTTGAATTATGCGTAAAACATGTATTGATTAATAATATGCGAGTCAAGGTACTTTTTTAATACACTAAGAGGTAACGCATGTTGACAGTAGAGGCAATTCATGATATTTCAGAAAAAGCAGAGCTTCTAGTTTTCTACGTCAACTTCAAATTTGAAGAAAATGGGTGATTAGATTACACTTTGAAGGAATCAAAACATTCGTAGAATGTTATTTGATTTACCAATAATCCTTCTACAAAGATCAAAAGAGAGCCTGAGGTCGAGAGTTGTTGGACGGGGAGTAGCAAAGTCAAAGATTGCTGACAATTGATTTTTTATAGAACAATAAGGTACGAGTCTGACTGTACTTTACTCCAAACATAACTTACTTCAATCTTAGTGGATCGTTTCGCTCGAGACCGCATGACAGTCTCAGAAGTTCTCCCAATAACTGGTCTTTTTGTCAATCGAGGTTTCCTCATTAAAAATCCTAGTGTCATCTCTCAAACTCTATTTTACTTTACTTGTACTTAATTTTTGCTTTGTTGTTATTTAATTTACTTTTATTTTGATAAATTTAGTTTAAGCAAAAATAAATAAAAAAGCCTCCCTCTGGCATGCTAATCATATTCCACAACCATTCAGCGCAACTCACAAGATTCAGGTTCATGTTATGATATCCTTTTTGTTTTTTGGTTTTTCCTCCATCCTCTTCAGTAAAGGTAAAACTTATGGTCTCCAAAATCGTTTAAAATATCATTATCTGAACAAATTTGCACAGAAGATAAATAATAAGAGCTTGTAGCACAACAAGAAAGACCCAATTGAAAATCAGTTATTTTATGTTTTTACAGTTCTAAAAACCATTTTAAGAGAAATAATCAAATAAAACCTATAATGCAACATCAGGGAAATATAAATGAAAAAAGAAAAAATGATCTAATTGTTTAAGCAATTTCATCACTTGACTTTAACCTAGATATCCAAGAATGTTCTCAACCAAGAGATTATAAATGCAAAAAACAGTTGCATCCACTCCAACAAAAAATATACTCAGAATGAGCTGAACGAGCTAAGTAGTTCTCTGCCAAAATCCAATTACAAGTCTAGAAGGATATGCTTCTTTGATTGCCATGTAGCATTGACATTCTCCAAAACACTGACAATATTCATGTTTGCTCCATGATTCCAAGTATAATCATTAAAAATGTCAAAGGTAAATTATAGAACTGTACAGTGCTTTACCAAAATACAGTTAATGTATATGCCTGATTTCCTAGAGGAGAGAAATCACTGCCCGAAAAGAACCTAACCTTTTTTAAGTATAGAGAGGAGAAGCTGAAGGCCGGGGATATGCAGGCGCTGTAGGATCTTCCTTTGCGCTGCTTCTGCAGGACCTATGTCCACCACTAGAATGCCCATTGCAGTTTAATTGGCGCTCTTTTTGTGTATTTTTAACCATATCCTTCAGATCCTGAAGCTGCTCTAAAACTGTTACCACCTCATCCATGTTTGGCCTCAACTTAGGTTTTGTATATAGGCACTGAAAGGCAAGGTTAACTGCCTTCAGGGCCTGTCCCAGTGAATACTGGCCTTCGAGACAGACATCAAGAACATGGAAAATTTTACGTTTGTTGGTCAGATATGGTTTTGCCCAGTCCACCAGGTTGTGCTCTCCAGATGGCCGATTCTTGTCTATTGCTCGTTTATCAGATAATATTTCTAAAAGAACAACTCCAAAGCTGTATACATTGTAGTTAGATGACCTTGCCAGAAGAGGGTGCAGCCAGTGCTCAGAATATAGGTTACCTCCCTTTTTGTTTATTGAATCAATAATAATGGAAAAAATGCTACGAATCTTAACCAATCATAGGGTAATCCAATTAATCCAGAAAATTGAGCATATGAGGTATGAGAGCCGACATTTCTCCCAACAAGGAGAGACAGACTGAATAACTATGCAAGGCTGTCCTTGCCATCACAACTCAAGGGAAGCAATTTGATGGAGAGAATTATTTGCTTAGCTTTGCTTCTTGTTCCTTTTTTTCTCTTTTTGCTGGAATCGCAATTTATACACGAATAGACAATTGGTGTTTTATGAAGGATCATATGGATAGTTCTAATTCAAAAGATTTGATAAGCTTCTGAGAGTAACAAATGACCTACAAAGTGTCAATTTTCACCAAAAAAAAAAAAAAAAATAGGGCTTCTAAGGCTCATAGTTATCCGAACACATGAAGCCCTGCCAAACACTTCAATATTAATACATTCTTGATAGTGCAATAAACCTAAAACTCTATGAGCATATCCATGCATTATTAATTTTTCATATTACCTTTTATTTCAGACACAATGTACATTTAATTAGTACATTAAATCAACCTAACAAGTAATATTATGCGACCACAAAAGTCTCAATTGTCAAACAACTTTGTACTCCAAAACCATCTCAAGTCCATTCAATAGATATAATTCACACACAAAAAAAAAAAAAAAAATTACATTGATAAGAAGAAATAAAATAGAAAAGAAAATGAGTGAAGAGAGGATACGTAAGATGGAGAGTGAATAAGGAAGACAGAGCTCTGTATGACAAGAAAAGAGAAGAGTGAGAGTGTGACGATACTGGTTTTTCAAGTCAGTGCGTCCTGTGATGAACCAAAGTTTGACTCAATAACGGATCCGAATGCGGAAGCGAAAATATAAACCAAGTCTCTAGAGATGTAATGCATCTATAAGACACCAAAGTGACCTTCCATGAGGCCACGGAACTCATCGAGAACCAACACGGAAGAAAAAGATCGGAAAAAGACTAAATAAGCCCTCAAGGGCAAAATGGTCTTTTTACTTGGAAATAACGTCTCTAGAAATGTATATCATCCCTAAGATACAATCATGACTTCTCATAAAGCCACGGAAACAAAAGGAAAACAAGCGGAAGCGACGTTTTAAAAACAGACAAGTTTTGCCCCAAGGGCAAAATGGTAATTTTTAGCAAGATTTGGGTGCTACCGAGCACATCATTGGAAAGACGACAAAAAAAATAAATAAAATAAAATAAAATCAAGTTAAACTCAAAAATCACTTGATTCGGAGTCCGGATGGAAGAAAAAAGTCAAAACAAAGTTTAAACGTCGCCACGGCCGTGAATAGTGTTTTGACAGCAATGAACAGTGTTTTGACAGCAGTGAATAGTGACCTGGGCAAAATATTGGACTTCGTGTGCCGTTTTGAGGCACTGAACGACGTTTTTTGGAAAAGCACGAAAAAAAACCCCTTCAAAATAATTTTTCCAAGCTGACTATATCAAAAGAAAATTTTATTTTTGACGTGAAATTTTCAAAATCCCTTATAACAGACTTTTTCAAAAAATGCATATGCGCACAGAAAATCAAATTTTTAGGAGGGGTTTCTTTATAACATTTTTTTTCAAAAAATGCCGTCTTGGTCTCAAAAATCTTGTGACAAATCTGATTTTCTATGCGCATATACATTTTTTGAAAAAGTCTATTATAAGGGCATTTTAGAAATTTCACGTCAAAAATAATTTTTTCTTTTGACATGGTCAGCTTGGAAAAATTGTTTTGAGGTGGGTTTCTTTTTCGTGTTTTTCAAAAAACGTCATTTAGTGCCTCAAAACGGCACACGAATTTCAGCATTTTGCCCAGGTCACTATTCACTGCTGTCAAAACACTGTTCATTGCTGTCAAAACTCTATTCATGGCTGCGGCGACGTCAAAACTTTGTTTTGACTTTTCTTTTCCATCCGAACTCCGAATCAAGTGATTTTGGAGTCTAACTTGATTTTTTTTTTCGTCGTCTTTCCAATGGTGTGCTCAGTAGTACCTAAATCTTGCAGGAAATTACCATTTTGCCCTTGGGGCTAAATTTGTCCCTTTTTAAAATGTCGCTTCCACTTGTTTTCCTTTTGTTTCCGTGGCTTCATGAGAAGTCATGATTGTATCTTAGGGATGATATACATTTCTAGAGACGTTTCCATGTAAAAAGACTATTTTGTTATTGAGGGCTTATTTGGTCTTTTTTCGATCTTTTTCTTCCGTGTTGGTTCTCGTTGAGTTCCATGGCCTGATGGAAGGTCACTTTGGCGTATTAGAGTTGCATTGCATCTCTAGAGACTTGGTTTCTATTTTTGCTTCCACATTCGGATCCATTATCGGGTCAAACTTCGGTTCATCACAGGACGCAATGACTTGAAAAATCATGGCCGTCACAGAGAGAGAAAGAGAAAACCTGTCATTGGAGTGGTGAAACGAATTTACCAAATGGGAGAGGGAGAGAGAGAGAGAGGAGCTTTGGTTCAAGAGGAAAAAGAGAGGAATGGGGGTAAATTTGAAATATTGGCGGGAGTATCGAAATGAAATGTTTACTACTAAAAGATTACAGGGATGTGTTGGTAAATTTGTCTACTTATTCTCAGTATTAAAGTTTAGTTTGTTTCAACATAAAAAACATATTTTTTTTAAAGTCTAAGTCGAGGTTAAGATCCAGTCCATCGGGGTAAGGCGTGTAAAATAGTCTGTCAAAAATACAAAAAAATAAAAATATTTTAAGGACTCTAAAATTCATAGGAGGAAAATTGAAATGCTTGCTAATTATGCTATGCAGGATTTATTAACTCACAAATAGTTTTTTTTTTTTTTTTAATTACGAAAAAGGAAGTTCCATTTGCCCTTTGCTATGCATTGTCTTATAGTTCATCTTCAAATAAAAATAAAGCTTAAAGCACCCATTTTATTTGCTTATTCATATAAATTATAATTTTTGTTTTAGACTAGCAAAAAGGGGCCTGTTTGTTCCTTGTGTAGCTTTTGCGGGATGTGTTCCCCGTTTGTTCACTTTTTAATGATTATCTTACTTATAAAAAGAATGAGAGAAATTCAGTTAAGATGGTTTGGACATGTGCACAAAAGACCTTTAAGTGCACCAGTTAGGAAAGTGACATGGTCCATTTTGAGGGTAATGCTAGGGGAAGGGAAAAAATAAAGTTAACGTGGGTATAATTAGTAAGAAATGATAACATGTGGTTTGACAAAGGCTATAGCCTTAGCGCAGAATGATGATTTATGTATACTAAAATTTTTGTCCACTAGCCCGTTTTAAAATGAAAAGTTGAGAGTTTAGTGGTGTGAAAGTAAAAAGTAGATATGTGAGTGTTTTTATGAATAAAAATAATTATATATGTACCAAATATATTTAATTTCCTAAATTATCTACTCACACGTCATCGATTTACCCATCCACCAGTCCTCTGGTATTTACACGCCTATTCACTAGCGGTTTAGACAGACACTAAGACACAGATGGACTTGATCTTTTGAGTTAAAACTCCTTTAAGTTATCATAAGTTGAATTTTCTACCAAATGATGTGTCATTTAAGATATATTTATGGCTTATGTTAAATCACTGCAACAAATTTAATAAAAGTTTAGAAAACCTTTAGAATACCTTAAGGATGTTAATTCTCTCTCTCCTGTTCTCTACAATAAGATTGCCTGGTAACTCTATTTATTTTAGTAATTTATTATTATTATTATTATTTGTAAAGGACAAAAAAAAAGAAAAAAAGAAAAAAAAGGAGACCATTCTAGGTAAACTAGGTTCGATTCTCACAAAGCGTAAAAACAACTAAGGTTAAAAGTTATGTGTGGTTTGCAAGTTTTTGCACATAAAATATTCAAAATTTACCAACCAACCACAAATTTAAAATATATGCCTTGCGAGTTGATTCTTCATTACAAAAAAATAATTAATAAATGAACACCATATACATGGATGTGGTGCTCATTTATTTATTTATTATTATTATTAATAAATTATTAAAATAAACAGAATTATCAAACAATCTTATTGTAAAGAAGAGGAGAGAGAGAGAGAGTTAATGTTGCTAATGTATTCTAATGGTTAGTTTGGGGTGGTGGAATAAATTGGAATGAAATGAGAATGAAGGTGGGAATAGAATGAGAATGGAATGGAATGGTCATTCCTTTTGTTGGAAGGTGGAATGATTTTGATGGAATGATAATTCTCTAAAAATAGTGGGGAATGATGATTATAACTTTAAAATTGGCACCAAATACGAGAATGAAAAAAAAATCATTCCATTCCACTTTCTTTTATTTCATTTCACCACACCAAATTAGTCCTAAAAGTTTTCTATTTTTTTTTTTTTTTTTTTTTCACAAGCAAAAAAACATATTTATTGATTAGAATCAGAAATTACATCCAAACTAGCTTTATGCAAAACAAACTATGGGAATTATCATCCCATAAACATGTAATTTCTCTTGTAAGGCATAAGCAGCAACTACATGGGCAACCTCATTGTTTGGAGAGATAACAATAAATAAATTAGCGGAATAACTCTTCTCCCTATATGCAAGCAAATATAGTGTATCTCTAATTTTATATGTGCTAAAAATAATAGAAAAGAAAATCCATCACACCAACCCACAAGAACACAAGCAATTTTTTACGTGCAAAATTTCCCCAGTGTGAGGAACAAAAACCACAGGATCTAGTCCAGTTGAAATCTCCACAATCAACCAAATAAAGGGTACACAAAGTCTTCTCTAATTGTAATTAGAGGCTACAATACATATCATCAAGATATCAACAATCTTGGCAAAAATAAAGAGAATTGGAGAGAAAAAAATACCAAAACCTGGTTACTGTTCACGAGTACGAATCACTGTTCCTGAGCTCAAAATCCGATCTCCATCATTCAGATTTTAACTCATTGAGTCGTGAACCTCTCCTCCAATTTTCAGCTCAATCGGACCACGGACGAAGCAGGATCGGACGTTTGATGAAATCTGGGCAGAATAGAAAAAACCAAAACCCGGTTACTGTTCACGAGTACGAATCACTGTTTCCAAGCTCAATATCCGATCTCCACCGTTCAGATTTTAAATAATTGAGTCGTGAACCTTTCCTCTAAATTTCAGCTCGATTGGACCACGGACGAAGCAGGATCGGATGTTTGATGAAATCTAGGCAGACTAGGAAAAACCTGCGTTTTTCTTCTCTTTCTTGTGAAAGCTACTGCTGGTCTCTCTCTTTTTTTATTCTGACTTCCTTAGGGTTATTTACCCTAAAGAGCTGGGCTTTGGGCTTTAATAAAACCCACTTGGGCTTTCCTCCATATAGAAGGAAATAAACCCAACACTCATTCCCTGCTCTAGGCGTATACACCAAATCAAAATCAGGGTGATGATGAAGCCATTCACAAATATTTCTACTAGAGAGCTAAGTAAAAGAGATGAAGACCCATCCAACATCGCAACCTTGACGATGACCTCTGCATCAATCTTAAACACAATACGGCTGTAACCCCAACGAATAACCTGGTCCATAACCTTTCGAAGCACCAAACCTTCAGCCACTAATGGATCTGAAACTCTTTGAAAGAAAAAAGACGCCAATCGCAACACCTTTCCCTTATGATCACACAGAACCATTCCACCTCCAGCCTCACATAATACTTTGCAAAATGATGCATCAGTATTAACTTTAATCACGTCCACTAGAGGAGCTTGCCACCTAACAGGATTCCCATAACTATTTTGCTCTGAATAGTGTGATCTCATAGTAGCAAAAGGAGCAACATTACAATTTAAAAATTCAAAACAGTAAGCTTCTCCAATTCTAACTATCTCCATTGCATCATACCATTTTTGCTCAAACACCCAAGCATTACATGCCTTCCAAATCTACCAACAAAGAAAAGCAACCATACTCTTCATCGAGTGCTCCTCACTTAAGCCCGACCAATTCTCCATTTTTGATCTCCCCCATCTATCCCATTGTCCATGGCCAACTTCCTCCCTATCTAATCTAAGCGTAGAAAGCTTCCAAACCAACTTGGCTCTTGGACACCTATAGAGAAGATGACTAACTGATTGAGGTTCCAACCCACATACTTTACATATAATATCATCCATCATCTTCCTCTTACCCAAACTTTCTAGTACAATCACATCCTCATTTAAACAATGCCAAATGAAATGTTTAATTTTTGGCATAACCTTCAACTTCCATAGATGTTTCCACTGCTGTTGACGTTCTACTATCCCACTTGTTCCACATTCACCTCTGTTGGCATGCCGCATCCCACCTCTTTTTAACTTAAGCGCAACCTGATATGCAAATTTTACACTAAAAGAGCCATATGCTGAAAAAAGCCACCATTGTTTATCCACTCCTTCTGTAACCAACAATTGGATCTATAAAATTCTTTTCCAATCTTATTCTTTAAAAATTTGTTTAATCCGGAACTCATTCCATCCTCCTGTATGTTGATCCACCAATTCAACTACTCTATAAATGCTAGAATTAGAAGGTTCTGGAGTACAAAGAGTGGAATTGTTTTTATCAGGAATCCACTTGTCCTTCCAAATTCTAACATTTTGACCGTTTGCAATCTTCCATACTAGCCCATTCTCAATCACTTTTCTAGCTGAGAGAAAACTTTGCCAGGCTTATAAAGAATTTGACCCTTTTTTTAGTTCGGAGAAAATCAGAATGAGGGAAATATCTACTTTATAAATTTGAAAAAACAAACCTTTCCGGTCTACTTGCAGGCTCTATGCTTGTTTTGCTAACAAAACTGTATTGAAAGCTTCCATATCTTTAAATCTCCAACCCCCCATCTGCTTTATTCTCTGTCAATTTCTTCCGGCTAGCCCAATGAATCTTTTGTTTCTCAATTGCCACTCCATCAAAACTGAGAAATATTCCTCTTCAGCATATTACATATTTTGTGAGACACCTTGGAGTAAAAAGGTTTTCTATCTTCAAACAGTGTAGTTTCTTAACCTTTATTAAATTAGTTAAAATGATTTAAAAATCGCTTTATGAATAAAAGTATGAAAAGTTTGGGGAGTTTTAAGTTAAAGGATTCAAGTCCGACCCAGACAGTGGCGGCAACAGTAGCCCGATCAATCTTACCCGTGCGATCATCGTCATCTTATCGATGTTTTTCCAAACTGCTCTTTTCATGCTCTTCTTCCATAGCCAAAGCACCTTCATTTTCTGCCTTTGTTCGATCAATCGGATCCACGAGCTTTTTCTCTCACACCGACCGGTTCGCCGCTGAAGCGGCGATTCGGTTTAACCAGATACGGTGCGAAGTGAACAGTTCCGTCGGGTTGACCTACTTGCCGCTCAACTCCGGGTCGAATATCGGCGAACGGACTACCCCGGAGATACTTTCGCTATTTCCGGGCTGCGATTTCGAACACTGGCTCATTATCATGGACAGGGCCCGGCGAAAGATCCACCAAGAAGTAGATGATCGATTGTTACATCCAAACACTTGCTAAGGTTCTCGGAAGGTAAATTTTCTCACGCATATATAGTATAGATATGAATATAAATACATATATAGAAATGATTGTGGAGAGAGAAATATACAGATATAGAGATCGAAAACGGAGAGAAAGGTTTTTGTGTGTTTCTGCGTGAGATAAATTATTTGGGGGAGGATTTTGCCGTTCTGAGTTCTCTTGTATGTTAGAGAGAGATTCTAATTTTAACCCTAACCCTAACCCTGCCTAATTACTAAATTTTAGGGTTTATGCATTTTAGTAGGTTAGTATTAGGACTAATGGAGATCTCTATTTCTAATTAGGTAATGAAGAGTACAAAGATTTGTTATGTTTCTTTATGTTGTCTATTACAACTCATTTGTAGTTTTGGGTTTTATCATTATGGTAAAAATGTATTTGTTATGGTATATCAGCGAAGAGGAAGCAAAAAAGAAGATTTACAATGTATCTTGTTCTTGTAAGAAGTACTTTGGGTTTGGGTGCGAGATTGATGAAGAGACATTGAAGAAGCTTGAAGGTTTGTGCGGTGTGTTGGTTTCTTAGTTGTAATTGTGTGAGATGATTGATTTAATTTGAGTGATCACATTTTCCAAATTTTATAGGTGGTGTTCTGCATGTCCTACCTGATTCTTATGTTGACGAAGAGACTAAGGATTATGGTGGTAAGTCTTCTGAAAATATATCAAGCTGCTATGTAAAATTTCATTAAGATTTCTGTTAAGAGTGCAATGATGATGTACATGCGAACTATCTCAGATTCTGTTTTCATTCGTTGATACATATACTTTTTTGGCAAATACATTTCTGCATGTTTGTGTTACATCATCATCTATGCAAGGTTATTTTTTATTTAATCAGAAGCTTTGACATGTCTGAATTAAGTTACTTTTATCATAGGACTAGCTTGTTAAAAAGTGATGTGAATGTCATTGATGCTCTTGTCTATAGTATTTGTATTTATTGTTGTACATGTTTCTTCTTCTTTGCCCCAAGTATTATTTTTATTATATGTATATTTATATATAATATTTTTATATGCTAAAGAGCTTAAGACAAAAAAATCAATAGGGTTGCCCATGCAGCCTACGCTTTTCCCTTGAGACCTCCCCTAATAAGGCAATAAGCAGTACATTATGCTTTCCACTACAATGGACACAGAACAAAGCTATCACTAAGGACCTGTTCGCTAACATGAATTAATTCCTACTTTTATTTTCTTCAAAAGTAAAATCATGATTTTGATTTCTTAGAACTAAAACAGAAACTAAAATCATGTTCATTTTCAAATTTTGAAAGCAAAACACACAAAATGTGTTTAATAAAAAAATGTGTTTTTGCTTTTGGTTCTTGAATTGGAACAATAGTTAAAACTTCGAAGTTGCGTTTAGAGACATAAAATACTAAAATTGCATTTGTTAGAAATTGGAAATTTTCAAAAAAAAAAAAAAAAATGATCTTTATATGATGCAACCTTCATGAAATAATTGTTTTTAGATCTTTATATGATAAGGGGTGTGAGATATCAATTACATTTGAAGTTAATAATTCACAAGAATAATGATAACTGTATTGCAAGACTTGGCAAGAACAACTAAGGACAACAATACGATAGAATCGCATGATAGAAGTAACATGGAGCATATTATAACATGAATCCAAATAGCATCCAAATAGAAAATTAATCCAAATAAAGTGGCAATTTTACATTATTCAAATAGAAGTGATTCATCTATAATGATAGTTGTTTCACAACTCATTTGCAATTGGCTCACGGGTTCCACTCATTTCTTGAATTTGCTCCTATGTAACATTTACTCGACTTTGAGAAGGTGGTGCCTTTCCAATTCCCATTTTTTCTTTCTTCTTCCATCAAAGAAAAGGTGGTGCCTTTCCAATTTCCATTCTCTCTTTCTTCTTCCATCAAAGTTATGAAGATCTTTTCATTTTTGTCACTCCATACAACTTTAGTACTTTGATCCTCAGCCACGTATCCCCATCCAATAATTGAGTACTTTGATCCATTACTATGACATTAAATATTGTATCTTGTTACAGATACTAGTGGCTAAGGAATAGGAATCCCATTACCATTAGGCAGTTGTTAATTGACTATCAAACAAAATTGACCACTCATAGGCACACAGAAACACACAGTAAAGTTAGGTTAGGGATTAATAAAGCTGCCAGCATTGGTTCTAGCAATTAATCCATTAATGAAATCCAAAAACAGGGAACAATTCATAGGCACGTACAAACACACACTATGTCAAGGAAGGCAGTGAAAATCTCAAACTCATTGACATTTATTTTACAGGGGTGGATAAGTTCAAATTTGTATATATGCATCATAAACAACAGGGAACAAAATTGTCAAGTTAGGCGGAACGTCAAGTTAAATTTCGTGCTACCAACACAAACTATAACTGGTAAGAAAATTAGCTGAAATCTTCATACAAGAGGGAACAAAATAGAAACAAAAAAAGAAATTCAGTTCTAACATATTGAATTTGGAAAATATCAGGCATTGTTATTCCCTTCTAAACATTTTGATATTTCATAATTGCTTTTCAACTGACCCAAGACCAAACATGAAAATGAGTATTTGAAGCTTGTATAGGATGTAAATTTGGACTTCTTTTTTTTTCCTAGTTGGTACTCACACACATTTGTCTCTTTCGAGACTTGAACCCCTGACTTCCCTTTGGAAAGTAAGAGGCTGATACCGCCAGGCCACCCGTTTGTAAATTTGGACTTCTTTTTGATAAGCATGCATGCAATTTTGGATCCATATATAGCAGTGTTAAATATGTATCAGTTTTTTGTTTAAAGATTATCGTAAATGTTACACCATATATATATAATATTTATATAGAAGGCGACAAGAACCAAAGAAATTTGATATACAAACACAATACTATATACATGCACAGTACAAAACCAATGAAACCCATATAGAAAATCGTATATATATAAGCTTATAAGTATATATACCCACCAACATTAAGCTCATCAAAATTCTTTGTGTTCACAACCGACCAAAGGGTGCTGGAGAGAGGGAAAGAGAGTGGAGAGGGATTGGCTGGATTGGGCTATTAGAGAGACTAAGAATGAGGTGGTTGCAATGTTTACCAAACCAACCCCAATTTCAAAGATGAATATACCAACAAAAAAAAAAAAACCTAAATTCTAGATTAAAATGGCCACATTCTTTTTTTTTTTTTTGACAAGTAAAAAAAAAATGACCACATTCACATAATGAATGTGAAGAAGATGAACTTGCCTTCACTCTTGATCAATAAACATCAAGAAATAGCCGATTCCTTACAGGACTTGAAAGATTTGAGATTTACGAAGGTTATATATATGTATATGTATGTATATATATAGGCACACATATATGTTAATATAATACACACACACACACATATATGTATATGATTCAAATCAAGTAAAGAACAATGATGTTTATTTTCCTAAACAGAAAAAGGGCAACCAACATCTGAAAAGAAAATTCAACAAAAACAAATTTGATGAAAAAAACATCAGACCCCAATATAGATAGAGAAAGAAGAAATCTGAGAAGAGATAGAAAGAAGACCTTGCACACTTGCCAGCCATCGGCCGCCGTTGGTGTCGTCTCTGTCGCCGATCACTGGTTGTCGCTAGTTGATTCTAGGATTGCTGTCTTCTAGGGTGAGAAAATTGTAAATCTTGTGATATAAACGAGTGGCTTTAGCATCACTTTTATGGGGGGATAAGTAGCGCTATAGTAAGGAAAGTAATTCCTATGCAAAGTGGAGGAATCAAAGAAAGCAACTTTTCAGGAATTGACAGCAGAAAGTAGTAGGATTTAATTCCTGTTAGTGAACATGCCCTACGTAATCATAACCAAATAATGTTTATGGATTGGGAAAATTTTAAAATAGTGTCAAATTCATGGTATAGGTACAAAGAAAGTTATATGTATTATTCTCAATTATGAGATCATTAGATTATTATTATTTATTTAAAATGATTAACCAGTTTCCTCTATATATTTTTTAGTGTTTTACCTTTTCATTCCTATTAGGAGCATTCCTTTTATACACTATATTTTCAATATTGGGATCCTTACATGTTGATTGTAATATATTTGAATGTTTATTGAGATTTCATTTTTAATGAAAGAGCCTGTTTGGGATTGCTTTTCAACCGCTTAAAGCACTTTTATTATTATTTTTTTAAATTGCTTTTAGATGTGTTTGTTAACCATTAAAAACACTTTTAACTTTTAATGGTTACTTATTAAAAAAAAAAACACTTTTAATGGTTGCCGATTTTAGTTTAGTAAAGCTTTTGAGTGAAGCTAAAATTTAGTTGCTGAGTAGAGGTGGTATATTTTACGTAATTGTTTTTTCTTAGACAATTTTATCCTTTTTTTATTTTTCATGATTACAATTTTACCCCCTTTTTTATAAAGTCATCATTATATTGTAATTTCTTTTCTGGATTCTTTGGGGCCTTGGACCCCGGTTCCTTTGTCCACGGGACGCGTTCCCCTATTGAATGCCCTTTTTAATTTATTATTACTTATCAAAAAAAAAAAAGTCATCATTATATTGTAAAATTAGTAATAGGAATGCTTTAAAAAATATTGTTAGGAAACAAATTAAAAGGTACTTTCATTGTGAAATGTACTTTATATATTTTATTATCAATCGCCTAACATGTTTATTTTTTCTTTTTATTTTGTTTTCCTAACAACATTTTTTTGATAGCGACAAAATCTCTTCTTTTTTTTTTTCTTTTTTTTTTTTTTTTTTTTTTTTTTAATTCTAGTAGCAATGCCAAACGGGCACAAAGTAACTAGTAAACGAGCTATATGTTATTGGATTGGGGTTTTGGCGGCCACTAAAATATTCATAAAATGAGAGTGATTGAAGCATGAAATTTCATACTGTACATTTTAGAAACTATAAGCCGTAAGCTTGAACCTAAGTTAGAAATTTAGAATGATGACTTGAGCCAAACCTGTGACAAGATTCTGACTAAATATTAGTCTCTGAAGCTTAAAGCTCGTAAGGATACTGTGAAGGGGCAGAAACCTCATTGGGCCGAACGCGCCCATTTGGGAGTTGCCCTGTCCAACCACGTTCATATCGAGCCTGGCCCTTAAAATGGGATGGCCCAAGGAGAGAACCGGGCTTATTTACTCCCAACTTGGAGTCCAAAAAATGGGATTAGGGTAGCAAGTAGTGTAATATAAATAAGGAAACAAAGGAAGGAAAAGGGAGAATGTTTTAGTGTAAGAAAAAAGCTTTCCATCAATAGAAGGGGATTTTCTTACCATCTACATATGGCGCTGACGCCGTCTGTGGGAAGCGACGAGTGATTTTCTTGTTGCTTTCCGATCTGATTGATGACACAGCTGCGTTCTGGGAATATGGTCGGAGGACAAAGCATGCAACATCAGGAGGCTAATGGGACGACTGGAACGATTGACAGGAAAACGCGGAGGTTGTGGAAATATTGTGCTGAGAAAACGTCGAGCTCTGATCATGATTAGAGCGCGCGATGGTGCCTCGTCCACTGCCACCGTTAACAGATCAGGTGGCGGCAAACGAGGCAAACCCTCAGAATGATTGAGCTGGATCCGTGCACCTTGACCCCCTGTCAAAAGGAGTTTGAAGGCGAGCTAAAGGATCAAGCGGCCGAGCAAGAAAGCACCAGCAAGACAGTTGCTCAGAGGTCAGATACACCCCAGGTGTTCGAAGAAATGTCCAAAGCAAATATCTAA